AGGGACGGAGCCTCTCCTTTCCCACAGAGGGTTTCTGCAAGCTTTCTTCCTCAAACTCAGAGCTGATATTTGAGACTTGGCTGCACAGAGTTCTCCCCAAGGAGTCCATGTGCTCCACAAGCTGACCCCTCGAAACGCAGCTGCTCCCTCGCTCCTTCCCACCCGTCACTTCCTGGGGCAACATTTCTCAGCTGTTATCCAGATCCTTCTCTTGGAGTTTCGCGTTCAGCTGGACACCTTTAACACCTCCGTGACTCTCCATTTCTGGAAGAGACCTTTCCCGTTTCCTCAGCCAGGCTGCAACCGACTTCCTTAGCCTCTCACGGGGCCAGATTACCTTTGACACACATCCGATTTCCCCCCACCTGCCTTATTCTATTTGTGTTTTGATTAAACCTAAAGCCTTATACATAAGAGGTGAGCATTCTATCACTGAAGTACAACTACAGCTATCTATGTTATTCTTTTTTTGTGAAAAAACTCTACTCTTTCTATTAATATATATTAATCGTACATATAGGTTTCATGAGACATTCTCTACACGTACATACTGTGCTCTGATGCTGTCCCCATTCTCCTCTTCCTCTTCTGCCTTCCTCCCACCGACCCCTTCCTCTTTCTGATCTGTTTCTTCCCATTCGACTCTGTGTTACTCTTTCTCCCGCCCCTGTCCCCTCCTCCTTTAAAGCAGTTTTATTAGGATTTCTTATGCAGCATGGGTGAGAGGTTATGTCTAGGAACTTGGATACTTTACCAGTGGCTACAGTTTTGAAGATGCATCTCCTTCCCCAGCAGCCATTACCTGCTGTAAATCCTCAAGGAGGCGTGGAGTCTGTTAACCCCGGGCTCTCTCCGTGACAGGATGCTCACAGTTCTATTGTATACACTTACCTTGTGCAGGCTATCCTAGTTCTCGACCATTTTTTTCTCTTTTCCAATTTTATTTCATGTAGTTCTTTTAGATTTGTTTGTTTTTTAGATTTGTTTGTTTAGAGTTTGTTTAGATTTGTTGTGTATGAGTCTTTTGTCTGCATGTATGCACGTGTATCATGTGTGTGCCTCGTGCCCACAGAAGACAGAAGATACCGGATAATCTGGAATTAGAGTTACACATAGCTATGAGCCATCATGTATAGACTGTGAACCAAATCCAAGTCCTCCGGAAGAGCAGCAGTGAGTGCTCCACAAACAATTGCCTGTACTCTTGTTATTTGCAGGCAGACTTTTCTGTCTAGACCGCCGATCAGCTTCATCCCACCAACCACACCCCCAATAACCACATGGAGACTTTTATTTTTTAGTTTTTTTTTCGAGACAGAATTTCTCTGTGTAGCCCTGACTGTCCTGGAACTCACTCTATAGACTCAGCTAATCTTGAACTCACGAGATCCACCAGCCTCTGCCTCCCAAGTGCTGGGATTAAAGACACGCACCACCACCGCCCAGCACCCACAAAGAGACTTAATATTTGTTATAAATGCTCAACCAGTGGCTTAGGCTCATTTTCAGCTAGCTCTGATAACTTAAATAACTTATTTCTATTAATCTATGTGCTCCTTACCTCATGCACATATTTTCCACCCTGTTCACTCTGCATCTCATAGTCTCCTCCGACTCTGCCCTTCTTCTCCTCGGCATTCTCTGTGCCACGAAAATCCTACCTAGACACCGGCCAACCAATTTTTTATTAACAGTGAGAACAACACATCTTCACAGTGTACAGATGTGGACAGAAGGATTATTTGACAGCAATTGTTTAAATTTATATCTACTTTTCAACTTGAGCTCTATTGATCCTTTTACCCATGTTCATATTTTAGCTCTTGTGTGTACTTTATCACTGGTCGTATCAGGCTCTGGGTGTTGCCCAGCTGTAGGTAGAACATGAGCTTGAGATGCAAAACTCTGAAATTAATCCCCAGCAACTACATTTCCCTCAAAGAAAGAAAGAAAGAGAGAAAGAGAAAGAGAGGGAGGGAAGGAGGGAAGGAAGGAAAGAAGGAAGGAAGGAAGAAAGAAAGAAAGAAAGGAAGAAAGAAGGAAAGAAAAGAATAAGCAAATTCAGGGGCTGGAGAGGTGACTCAGTGCTTAAGAGCACTGGCTGCTTTGGCCAGGGACCCCATTTCCCTTTCCAGCAGCCACATGGTGGTTTACAAACATCTGTAATTCCAGTTTCAGGGTATCTGATACCTTCTTCTGACCTCTGTAGTGTGCATGCATACATGCTGGCAAAACGTGCACAAGAAAAATAAAAATAATGTGCAAAGGAAAAAGAAGTATCACAGTGTGCCTAATAGTGTGTATTCACGTTTCTCCTAGTTCTGTTACCAACTCTTCAGGATCACCTTTCTTTATCCAAACAATGCCTAGGATGAGCAGGTTGTGTAGGAAATGGGCTGGGATTGCGTTGAGGGTGCTCACAGCACACACGGGTTTTCTATCCCTTTTATATCTTGACTTTTATTGTCACTAGTGCCAAACAAATTTTCTCAAACAGACTGCTAAATCTACAAATGGCCAAGACACCACCTTGTTTGTTTTATTTCTCGGTAGTCCCAGTGTAGCATTTTGTTCATGATAAAGGCTTTACTTAATTGGGTTAATGGCTTAATAGTTAAGTAATTTCCTTTTTTGGGATATATATAGTTTTTCGAGACAGTGTTTCTCTATGTTGCTCTGAAGCCAGTCCTGGAATTAGCTCTTGTAGACCAGGCTGGCCTCGAACTCAGAAATCCGCCTGCCTCTGCCTCCTGAGTGCTGGGATTAAAGGCGTGCGCCACCACCACCTGGCGCGAATAGTATTTTTTTTTTGTAATTTCCTTTTTTGATACTTTCAATATATTAGATTATCCAAGATTTAAAAAGCATTGCCCTGGTGTGCATGTGTGTGCATGCATGTCTCTGTCTGTCTGTCTGTCTGTCTATCTGTCTGTTCACCCATACTGGCACGCCTCGAGGCCAATGCTGCTGCTCTTTTCCAGTCCCTTCTCCACCTTATTTTTTGAGCCAGAGTCTCTTCTTAAGACTGGAATTTGAAGTTTCAAGTAGATGGGCAAAGCAGGACAGGATCCATCCATGTCCTCCCACCCTAGGCCTGGGGCTAGAAACATGTGTCCCAGCCAATCTCTGAGGGCAGTGCTGTGGAACAAAACTCGGGTCCTCACACCTGTGCAGCAAGCACTTCACCCACTGAGCCATATCTTGTCATATCTTCCTTTACTCTTTTTCTTTTGCTTGGATTTCCAGCCTGGCTCTATTCTGCCTGTCTACTGGCCAAATCAGCTTCCTTACAACCAATGGCAATAAAACATACTCACAGTACACAGAGGGGCATCCCACATCAATTTCTCCAGTCTTTGTCCAAGATTTGAACAGATATATGAACGTACTCAATACATTAACAAGAAAGAAGATAAAGGAAATAAGCGAGACACTCTGTTAGCGCCCTTCTGATGCAGAAAATAAAGAAGAAACTCCCCAGCCCAGCCTGGTGTAGTCAATGGATTCATTTTTTGAGCAGTGTCTGGCATATCTCATGCATATTAATTGAGCCCATGAAAGGAAAAGACCATAGTCCCTTCAGAAACATTCCTTCAAGGACTTCAACAATCTTTTATAACACACGAGAGATTTTAGGGTGACTTCATTCACTTTGCTTTAAGCATAAGATGAAGCCAGTGATGTTACCTATAAAGACTTTTTCTTAGTTGGGTTTTTTTTTTTTAATTACCAATTTGAAACTGATGAGAGCTTAGCAGGCAAAGCCCTTGCTGTGCAGACCTGATGACCTGAGTTTTGTCCCCAGAACCCAAAGAAAGGTGACAGGACAACGTTGTTGATGATCCTCTCACCTACATACACATACACACACACACACATACACACCACACACATACACACCACACACATACACACATACACACCACACACATACACACACACACATACACACCACACACATACACACCACACACACACACACACACACACACACACACGCACACTTGTCTGGAAATCCAGATTAAATACACCCTTTTCTAGGAAAATAGAATTAAGATTTATTCAAGGAGAACTGAAAACACATCTCAATGATTAAGAACACGTGTTGCTTTTGGTTCTAAGCACCCACAACAGCAGACCCACAACCACCAGGGGATCTGAAGCCCTCTTCTGACTCCTTCGGGCACTGCACTCATGCGTACACGACTCTTCCTTCTCTTTTCTTACCCATATCCGTGTAAAAAAATATCTTTAAAGGAGAGGTGATGTACATAAATAATCATAGAGCAATTGAAGATTATCAAAGATTTACCTCTGGAAAAAATGTCAGCTATTGATATATTTGAGATAGTCTAATTGTGAAATTTACAGAGAAATTATAATTAATTCTTACAGCTTTTAAACTATTTCAGAGATAAATGATGGTTCTACTCCTAGGCCTGCTGATAACAGGGGTAGAAAAGAAAAAGAAGAGCCACACTCATTGGGTCCTGAGGAAGCCTAACTTTAGGATTAGGATAGATTTTAGGAGAGACCAAGGGATTCCTAGGGGCAGATGAAGTAGTTCTGAGAAACTGGAATAGGAAGAGGTGGGATTGTAAAAGGTTCTTACCTAGTTCTTTGAGAATTAGAATCCGGAAGATAAAGAATAAGATCGAAATTGTAAACATCTTGTGATCAGGCCCAGAACAAGTGAGAAGAACAATATGATAGCGTCCTTCCTTAGACCCCAAAGTTGCTGTACTGAGAGTGAATGTCAGCAGGGTCTTGCTCAGAACACACAGGGCCCTCTTGATGTTTCCTTGTTGATCTGCTTACAAGAGGCCATAAGGCCAGTGATGCAGTATCATACTCAGAGCATTTACGTACACCCTCTTGAGTGCTGCCAATGGCATACTGACTAAGAACTGTTCTAGTGATCTGAGCCAGTGTACTTACATAAGAAAAACAGTAGGAAAGGGAAGGCAGCATTGTGAGAATATCAACAAGGAAGGGCTAAAACAGTTTCACGAGGGCACAGGAGAGTTGCTTCTTGCAAACTAATGACTCAGGATGAGCGCACGTGACTTGCTGATCCTTTGATGTCCTTCAGGAACCAAGTAAATCAAATAAACCAGTCTTCTGGATAGGTAGGAACACCAGTCAGGAAGCTGGAGAATGCCAGGCACCTGGTGGATTCGGAGAGAGCAGTTCATTTATATTTCGTATAGTTGTTGACATGATCGCTTTGAGATATATGTGCAATATCCAGGTAGAGTCTCAGAAACAGTGGTTCAAGATCCAAGCACCAGGTAGAGTCCTCTCTGAGTGTGTCTGCAGCAAGGCAGCCATGGCTATTTGGAAGGGGGAGGAAGTAACAGTAGGGAGACGCCTATTCACACCCATCTGTCTTGGTCTTTCCAGGTTTCGCTTTGCTGTGAGTCTTGCCTCTTCGGAACCCACCTTAGCATCTCATGGATAGCAGTGTGAGGTCCATGACTCCTCCTCCCCGCAGCTGTCCTCCCTGTGAATAAAATAAAATAAACAAATTGAGCAGCTGCCATTAGCATGGCGGTAGTCCTGTTTTCCACTTGCAAGAAGGATCCCGTTTAATTCTCACAGGAGGCAGGCGTTATCAGATATTTGTAGACAAGATACAAAAACCCAAAGACATCCAACAGTGCTAGAGACACACAGCTAAGGACAGCTGAATGGCACAGCCTCCTTCTGAAATCCAAACACTCTTTCTTCCCAAAGTTGACACTTTTGTCTTCTAACGTCCATTCTATTGCTTCTGTAAAGCACTGTGATTTTACAGACTCTTTAATTTTGTTTGTGTTTTATTTTTCAAGACAGGGTTTCTCTGTGCAGCCCTGGCTGTCCGGGAACCACACTCTGTAGAGCTGGCTAACCTTGAATTCAGAGACCCGTCTGTCTCTGCTTCCAAAGTGCTGAAATTAAAGATATGAGTCGCCCACCCATCCTGGATGTTTGTTTGCTTTGGAGACTGGATCTCACGAAGTATCCTTAGCCAGCCTCAAACCATTCACAGTGATGAAGACCAGGCTGGCCTCCAATGAACAGAGCTAGGCTAGATTCAGTCTTCAGAGTGTTGATACAGGTTTTGTATGGTTTTGGTTTTTTTTTTTTTTAATGTTCAAAAATAAGTAAAACAAGAGGTGGGAAGTTTCCCCTTTTTTTATGTTATTCTGAGGGGAGACTCCAGTGCGCAGCCTCGGGTTCCTTGAATAAGAGAACTTTCAGAGAAGTCGTTATTTACGTTGGTCGCCTGTATCAGTGATTGCCTCCTATGTGAATACCACTGCTGATAGATTTCAGAATAGAAACTTGCTCGTATTACCTGGGTGACAAACCAAAGCTGGTATATGTTAGGCAAATACCACTCTATCGCAGATGAGGAGCACGGAATCAGTAAGGAGTTTTATAACGACTAATACTGTCGACAGTACAGCTGAAGCCACTAAGATCATTTGTCCTTAAAAATGGGGTCTCATTAGAGAAATAAGAAAAGACATTCAAGATAATTTGTTGATTGTGTAGTCAGTAGGAACTCCAATAAAAACAAAACAAAGACCTCACGCTATGGCTTTCCTTTACAGTGAAGAGACTCTAATGCCACAGAGAGGTAAACACGTGCTATCCATACAGATGCCAACATCTGCCAAAGCTTGTCCATGTCCCTGCTCTCTGAATCTTAATACAGTCAGGTAAGTGATGGTTTGGGATGTTTTAGGGCTTATTTCGCATACTTCCTTCCTCTGTTTCAACGTCGTTGCATCAAAACATAAAGATAAGAGATGGGAAAGTGAGGTCGGAGGGTAACGGGAAAGTGAGGTCGGAGGGTAAAGGGAACGTGACTGTTAACTAATAGCCACACAGCAACGTTAAAGTTAGCATTGGTCTTTCTGAATTAGAAAATGCAGTTTTTTGCCCTCACCCCTTTAAGGTAGGAGTGTTGCCCAAAGTAGTCTCAAATTCCTGGGTTCAAATGATCCTTTTACCTAGACTTCTGAATTGCTGGAACAGCAGGCTAAACTCTTAATTTAAAAAAAAAAATAAAGAAGAAAAGAAAAAGAAAAAATTAAAGCAAATTAAGGTCTTGAGATGTGGCTCACAGACAGAGCACCTGCCTAGTATGCATGAGGCCAAGATTTAAATGCTTCATCGTTGCAAAATCTCACGAAAGTCTGAGGTCTGATAAAGTGCACTGTCGTAGTAGAAGCCTTGCATTGCAGGGGGAAACTAGAGGTCTCTTTTAGAGTTCTTCGTTTTGTTAGTAAAAGAATTTAGATACAGACTCAGAAGGAAGCTTGGGGACAATTTTATTCAAGTCTTCAAGAAAAATAACAGGCCAGCAAAGCTGTTGATGTTGGCGAATTCTGGGAGAAGGAAAGAAGGGGAAAGGAGAGCCTTTTCTTCTGAGTTAGGGGCCAGGAAAGCAGGCAGGCCCGGCAATAGAGTTAGGCTGGCAGGCAGCTGCACGGAGGAAGGGGGCAGGGGTGAGGAGAGCCTGGAGAATGAGTGAGAAAGCCTGGAGTGGCAGCAAAAGCATGCCCAGTCCTTGGCCAGTATCCCAAAGTAAAGGACATAGGAAAGAAGCAAAGGGGGGAGGGGTTGGTTTAGGCTCCTCAGTGCTGTGTGACAGAAACTCTGGGCGCAAGCAGCCGCACAGAGGCAGGGTTCCAGGGGAGGGTCAGCACACTATCTCACTAACTCAACAACTCTTCCTTCTATCTCCTGGGCTTCCAGGTGGCAGGGACCCCTGACCACGTGACTGACAGCAGAAGGCGTTAACTCTTAAGAGAGGAGACAATGGTACGTAGTCCTTTAATCTTTGGAGTAGATCGGAATGTTTTGTTTCCACTACACGCCAGAGGGAGTCTATTCTTTCAGATTAGAGGTTTAGGGAGTGGCAAAACTGATTTTACCTTGCTAGGATTATCAGAGAAACGGGAGGTGTGGTCCAAAACCAACCCCGGTAGGAGTTCATCCTCAAGGTTATTCTAACATTCCTGTCTCAAGAACTGAGACCTTAAAATCATTTAGGAAGCAGGATTCAAATACTTCTGGCATTTCTGCCTTTAGCCAGGACAGGATAAAGTACATTTTCAGCTTCTGGCTAAGGCCACAAATTGAGGAACCCATGCCCAGATTGCCTGCGGGTTCCTATCTCTCTTGATCTCAGGGTTCACTTTATCCTCGCATCTGTGTTTCTCTGTTGTCTGACCATAAGACATCTTCTTATTTTAAGCTTCCCTTTTAACCACTGGGACAGCACTGAACATCCCTAGTTTGGCTGGAGAAGGTGCTTTAGCTGGCCCCTCTTCTGCCTACAGCATTGCTCCCTGGGCATCTGAAATGCACACGCAAACATTCAGCAATCTGCAGCACGTGTTTGGCCCTCGACGTCAACAGTACTAGTAACAGATCCCGTGAGGTCAGGTTGTGAGTGGCTATTAAAATAGACCTAATTAGAAAATAAGACTAAAGCTTCTAGGTAGATTGCCCAAGCCCAAATTCAGGCAAAAAGAAGCACTGGAAACAGTGGTTTGCATGTGGCTTAAAACCATGACTAAAAGAAAGAAGGGAATGTGTTTGGTGGAAGCTTCACCTCAGCCCTGGGCATCCTTATATCCAATGAGTCTGGAATTTTGAGTGAAGGCCTCATTCCAACCCCAGCATTCATGTATCCAAAGAGTTTGGAACTTTCCAGTGAAAGTTCCAATTCAAGCCCCCTCCCCTGGGAGTCCTCTCAGTCCGGACTCCGCTCCCAAGAAAGCCTGCCAAAAGATGACCCTTCCCTAGAGATGATCAAGACCACTCCCAAAGGGCATTTAAACTGGCCCCAGAGAACAAACAAATGGTTTTCCCATCTTTCTTTTCTCTCCGGGGTGCTGGAAAGCCATCTGGGAGCGTTTGTTTCCATTAAACCTGGACTTTTTCTAATTTGGCTTGATTTGGTCTGATTTGGATTATTGCATGAGTGGAGGACTTATCGGGGTGCAGAAACTTTTCAGAATGCACTAGAGATTAGTGCAAACCTTGTTAAGAAACCAAAGAGGTTTGATAAGTTATTCAGTTGTCTTACTGTCTCTGCTATATTTATGTCTTAGTGAAAGAGACAGTGCCTAGAGGGTAAAGGGTTAAAGACGTCATTTTCTCAGTTACTCATCCTTTGCTTGTGTAGGACTTGAACTTTCTGAGCAGTCTGTCCTGGTGACCTACACTGCCAGGAGCGGCTTCACCTAACTGCCTTGCACCCACGTGTTTACCTTGATGAACTTCCTGTTCCCTAGGGGGTAGGGATAGGAAACTCACCCAGGGTGGGGATCTGGGTAAAAGGTCAATCACAACAGTCTTACTGAACTTTGAATGATCATTGCAGAGAATCTAAAAAAGACTTTCTGATAATGAGAAATAGGACGGTCTGTAAAACCTTCTGTCCTGCTCTGTGATAGAGTGCTTGCCTAGCTTGAGTGGGGTTCCATCCCCCTACCCTCACACACACACACAGTAACAAACCTCTCTCTCTCTCTCTCTCTCTCTCTCTCTCTCTCTCTCTCTCTCTCCCACACACACACACACACACACACACACACACGCACAAGATGCTTGAGTAGGAACCTCTTATGTATTCAATGAAACAAACGTTCTGTTTAGGGATGGGGAAGGAAAGGAGAGAAAAACTAAGTATTTTATCCCAACAGAGTATTCTTTTCTCTTTATTAACAACTTTTGTAGAACAGAAAATTACTTTTATCGCAATAATCTTATCAGGGAATCTTTGTAGTTTACGGGTAGTACTATCTTGATTTTGTTCCACTCACTGTTGGGTTCTGTCTCTGAGGGCACACAATTCAATCCAACAAAATGAATGAAACATTTCCCTCTTCCCCTCGTAAAGGGAAGTACAATGTGTTCTCATGTTCATAAGCAAGAACAGGGCAGTTCAAAGAAGACAGGCCCAATATGAACCGTTAGCATCCTTATAAAAGGTAGTTATAGCCTACCATTTATTTTAAGAGAGTGCCCAAGACCTGGTGGGGAGAAGGGTGACTGTGGTCCACTCTGGAGTGTGATATATTTGCCAGAGACTTGGAAGAATTATTCATCTTTTTCTTCCAAGCTTTATCCAAATTCAACCTTCTAATGAAAGGTAAAATTGTAGCAGGAATTCTAATTAGTTCAATAATAAAAACCCAGAGTCAGATATAGGGTTAATGCTGAAGACCAAAGAAGCAGAGCAGCCAGCTACTAGGGAGTTCTTACCTTTACCAATGCTCAAACTGAAAGGGCAATCCTGTCTCTATGAATCGAATCCTTAGATAGCATCTCAGACAGAGTCTTCGGACTGCATCTGAGCTCCTGTCCCTTCCCACCTTATATTCCTCTCTCTTCCCAGCCATATCTCTTCCTGTTTCCAACTTCCTAGTGCTGGGATTAAAGGCCTGTGATTCCAAGTGTTGTGGCCTCGGTTTCTCTTTTAAACAGATTCGGTCTTGTGCAGCCTAGGGTGGCCTTGAACTCACAGAGATCCATCTGCACACTCTCTCTCCTGAGTGTTGGCATTAAAGGTGTGTGCTCTTACTGCCTGACCTTTATGGTTAACTAGTAGTTTAGCTCTGCACTCTGATCATCAGGCAAGCTTTATTTGTTAGATCACAAACAAAATATTACTATGTAAAATATCACTAGCATTGCCTGGGTAGTCATTCTTAGAATGCTGTAATTCTAAAGAAACTGGTTAAGATACAGACTCCTTTGACCTCTGAAAGTGAGTGCAGAGGAAACTGGCATTCATTCAGGACGTTGCCCATCAGCCAGCAGTTCTGAAATGAAAGGTCAGAAGTCTTAGGTCAATGTTCAAACTCTGTATCCATCCACTTGATAGAGACGACTCAAATAAACTCTGGCTCAGTTCTTTTAACACTCAGCTAATTTAAAGGCCTACAGTAACAAACTTTTTAAATGGCTTAAGTAACTTTTATTTTTTTTTAATGAGAAAGGGATTATTGTCTGCTATTACTAGTATAAAAAGTTGCTTAATTTACTCCCAATTTTTCTCAGTCTTACTAGCCTGGCATGTACTATCTGTCCTCCTAAATAATGCTCATTGTCATCCTAAGAATGTCCTTGATAAGTTCATTTTAAAATAAAAGTGAACTATATGCCAAAAAAAAAAACCCAGAATTAATCGATAATGAAAACGATCTTGAAGCTGAAATCCCCTGTTACTCCACAGTCTTCAAGAGTGCTGAAAGGGGTAAGGATGTATATAGCTAAGGAGTATCATCCTTGCCCCCCCCCCCACTACAAAAGCACTGTTTCTTTTTTGGTCCTTTTTGTTTGCACTGGGACTTGTGAGTTGGTTGGACACTTAAGCGGACTTCTCTGTGTTTGATTGGGTCCCAAGGTCTGTCCTCTGTTCCAGCATATCACTGCAGGAACTGGAACTGGTCAGTTACCTCTTTTATTATTTATCCTGTTGTTTGCTTCATACATGTCTGTCTGTGCATAGGTTTTGTGTCAGGAAGAGCTATGGCTGAACCCCTGGTATGCTGGGACTATAAGCATGAGTGAATACTCCAGCTTTATACAGTGCTGACTGAGCTCAGGGCTTCTTTCATTGTGCGAGGCAGCACTTGAACTCTATACTTCCTAAATGGTGAGATTAAAGGTCCTAGGAAAATATTCAGGAATCAGAGAGACTTCATTAGTGTAAAAATGAGCAATCCCACTTTCCTGATACACACACACACACACACACACACACACACACACACACACACACGTCACTTGGTCAGAATTGAATCTACATAGCCAAAGTTGTTCTCAAGTGTTGGAGAAGGGTACTACTTGTTCGTCCCAGCCACCCTGCTAGCTTAGACCCAAAATAATCACATAGAAAACTGTATTAATTAAATCAGTGCTTGGCCCACTAGCTCTAATCTCTTATTGGCTAAGTCTTATATTAATTTAACCCATTTCTATTCATCTGTATATCACCATGTGGCAGTGGCTTACTGGCAAAGTTTCAGCATGTCTGTCTCTGGCAGCTCCATGGTGTCTGTCTCTGACTCTGCCTTCCTCCTCCTATGCTCTAGGCCAAGCCAATTCCTTTATTCATTAACCAATAAAAACAACACATAGACAGAAAGACCTCCCACACCACTCAAGTATCTCTATGGCCTGGCGGTCAAGGAAACAGATAATCAGAGGATGTTTGTGGAAAGCAGAGGGACTGACCTGTGATGTTCTAAGGATGAAACCTTACTTGCGATAGAGACATCAGGAGGATGGCAATGCCAGGAACATGGAATGTTTGCTAATAAAGACTGTAGACAATAAGTAAAGCCAGAGAGAGAGAGAGAGAGAGAGAGAGAGAGAGAGAGAGAGACAGAGACAGAGACAGAGACAGAGACAGAGAGGGAGGGAGGGAGGGAGGCCAACAGAAAGGCCTTAGGCACAGACCTGCCCATATATGTTCCAGTTTACGTCTTTACACCATATGTGACAGAGGTCAGATGAGGATCTTCAGGGCTTCATGTTTGCTCTGATGGATTTTGTTCTTACTTTGTTCTGATTTTCGATTCTTGTTGTATGTTGTTCCTCTGTTTTGGAACAGGGAGGCTTCATATCTGTCACAACATCTTTGGAGGTTATCACTTGCTTTCTGAATTTATAGGGGTTCACAACTAAAAGTTTATTTTGAGTCTTAGTAAAAGCTTGATTTTGGGGGACTGGAGAGATGACTCAGTGGTTAAGATCACTGACTGCTCTTCCTGAAGTTCTGAGTTCAATTCTCAGCACCCACA